GATAAAACTACATAATCGTTTCGTTTTGAGTTTGAATAATGTTGTATTTTTCTGATTTTGGTTTCAAAATGATTGTTACGGTGGCAAATAGTCTAATGAAGACGAGTAGTAACTCGTCTACCAAAAGCAAGATATCGGGTCAGCATAGTTGCTGGTGATATAATAATAAGCATTGATCTCAAACTGGTGAAGAAAATTAACTTACCACATTCAGGATGCTCGCACGTGCGAGCACATTCATTTTTATAAAATTATCAGCCGATAAGGGAGTTTTTATCTCTCCATGAATGTGCGGGTTGTCATCTCATGATAGCTCTCTGGCATAAGTTTCTAGACGTGCGATCTAATTGTCTGGTACCTTAGCTCTGTCACGGTAAAGCGCGTAATATTTGTTACAAGAATGCACTAGCGAATGAGTCGTCCCTATTTGACTGTAGTGGTTAATCGAGCACTGTCGGTGTCTATGGCATTGATGCTATCAAACGAGAGTGTCATACGTAATAGATTCTCTAGCGCTAATTGTGCATTAGAATTTCGCATCAACGGCTTGAGGTCCATCAAGAACTCTAACGAAAATCTCGACAAGACGATAAGACGCAATATTGTTTTCGAAAAAGGTACTGTATAACGTGGTGTGGTCGGCTTGGCTGCAGTTCCATCGACAAAGATATCGTCATCATCAGTTACTTCAATTTGATTTTGACTATGAATTTCGTTTGAGATAATGTTCCATGTAATATGCTTTCGTGGTAAACATTTAACAATTGGCATGACTCGAGCAGATATTGATCCACGATTGATGCAGTCTCGATCAGGATAGCTTGCTTTGGAAGAGTAGCAATATGTACTTTGTTCCATCCTAAGTGTAAGAATTCAAAAATAAACTTGATGACTTCTGCCGCATTGTCGAAACGGACAACATAAGTGCAACTCTTCGTTCATGTAACTGACGATCGTAATGCGTGCCATCGCTTATCGGCGCGCAACAAGTTTGTTTGACATATTCCATCCGTTTTGCACTGACCAGATAAATTTGAAGATATACATTTGGACAGAGCTCTTTGTATATAATTTTCATGGAAGCTGCCTTGAGGCCAATGGTATTGGATACCATGCTCTGCAACATATAATGCTAGCTGATAATTCTTCTCTTGTTTCTTGTCCAGGTTAGCAATTACGTACAAATAATCTTCGTAACCGTTTGTTGCCGCAAAAAAATCTTTTGATAATAACGTAATTTCTTCAGCCGTTGTCGTTGTTCTCGCATACAAATACTTACCACGGTTCAGGATATGAGCCATGGTTAGCGTACAACGAAATAATAATGTTCGAAACCCGAAACTTGTCCATGCTGCTACAAACAGCTTTCCAGTTCGTACAATGTCCTATATCAGGCTCGACTATATCAGGCCCAATCTTTCGGTCGGAAACATCTCAAAGATTACGGAAAGTTTTTTCCAATACTACATAGCATTTCCTTGTAGTTTTTCTTGTCTGAATCAACCTTCAAAATCCCACCGGGTGGTAACAGAGGATTCACGAAATGTGGCAGTGTCTCGCAAAACTTGCATGAGATTGTTGTTCGCTGCTGCATATAATTATAAAACTTCCAAACGAGCCTTCCGGGATAAACAGTCAGGTAATAGTACTCTTTGTGCGTCTCTTACAATTTCTTCCCTGTACAAAAAGATAGTTTGCGCATTCATCACGGAATTTATACTTGTCGATCAGGTAGCACTGACATCTGTTTATTATTACGCGTCACAGTCTGAAATTTTCGACAAAAGAAATTAATAATCTGGCGTACCAAATCTACTTGAAATAGCTTCACAACCGAAGTTGCTATATCCTGCCTGGAAATGAGTAAAGCCCGGCCTCGCGAATCTTGTAACCCGTCAAGTTGTATGTTTTATTACCCTACGACAGCTCAGCAGAGCATCGATCTTCATACTCACTCCCCTTGTCGCAACATTGTTAGTACGTTCTTTCGTACTTCACTCTATTGGTAATATTTTCATACATACATTGGTGCAGAACTAACCATTACAGAGAGAAATTTTCTCCGCAAGTAGAATCTTCTTAACAGGCAATTCACAGAGCTTTAAAGATCTCGAAACTTCCACTTGCACGTCAATTAATTTGAGTGGAGCCAA